ATAACTTTTGTTCCGCGAACGTAATAGTGTTCCGATATTCTGATGGAACGTATACTTTTTTACTTTTTATTTACATACATTCGTTACAATCGTTACAGTCAAGTAACTCAATGAACAAAAATTTTAAAAAATTAGTCAAGAAATTTTATAACGAAATTACTTCATCACTTAATGCACGATTACGATCAAGATTTAAGTTCAAAGTTAAAAAAATTAAATAAACCCTTTCATTTTAAACCATATTAATTATGCATCGGTAAACTTTTTTTACACTTCCATTTCATTATTATAGTCTTTACTTCGCAATTATACATTCACATTTTTTGAAAAAAAAAGATGATAATGTATGCAAAGTAGCACTCAGCAAGAACAAAATCTGCATCAGCAAAATCTGAGTGACAAAAATGTCTAACAGATGCATCGTAGCACTTTAAAAATGTGAGAGGTATTTCATTTTTTTAATTGGTCAGAAATACGTAATTAATTATTTATTCGTTGGTGGTTGGGTACTTCAAATTTTTTCAAAAATTAATCGAGCACTGAATAAGAGGAGCTTGTTAACGGATGAGCGATTTACAATTATCGCACTTATAGTTTGAAACTAGACGAATTAAAGGGCATCCAAAAAGCTAGTAAAGCACTTACATGAGTTTGCTTACTTGGTTATCGGAAATGTTTATTGTATGACCCGTCTTATCTACTCATAATTGCAAGGAAAGCAGTTAAAATAAATAAAATCATTTAAAAAGGTAATTTTTTGTGTCGCTTACATGCAAGATATTAATATACATTTTTAAGATAAAAGAGTCTATTGTAACACGTGTTTTATTCCGAGAAAACGCACAGAAAATGAGTATTTTAAGAGAATTAATGTTTATCCTATAATAGCTATTAAGGATTCTTCAGTTGCACAGTTATAATGAGGATTAATTTGTGTACAAAGCTGAGTTTGCATTCATTTATGACAATACTGACTCGTCGAGAAAATGGGACGCATTAATCATCGCGATAATGCGAGCAAAAGCTGCCGCGCTGCGCGGCGGCTTTAAAGGAGGCGAGCACGCGGAGTTTAGCGCGACGTTTTACTCCCCCTGGCATACCGAAACGAGGTAAAAAATTAATTTAAAAAGCGAGTAAATACGAGGCAAAATAAAATTTTTGTATCCGTACGCGCCGTGCACGACCTGCACTTTCTACCGTGCCGACGACGACGTCTTGTGCGACCGCATTAACGGAGAACTATAGCACATCGCGATAAGGAAAATGGAAATATAAGGTATACACTTGTATTCGCATATTCTCGTTTATTTATATACCTTATGCAGTGGCGTATGGTACTCAACTGGAATGCAATAAGCTTAAGACAAAAGTGGCGCGTTGTTCTATAGCAAAACTATTTTCTGCGCGTTTTAGCATATTGATGGAATTATTCGAAATTTGCGAAGGAGTTTTTTTTTATCTCTGCTCGTTTGTTAAACATACGTTGAACGAAATATTTCAGACGCACGGTATGCAGTCTTTCGGCCGTGTACTCGAGAATGTCGCATGAAATCCTCCCAAATCATAATGAAAAAGACACGGTCGGGCGTACTTTTTTCGTTCAAGTTTTCAATTTAAGTTTGCGCGTTTAAATGCTAATATAATTTTATCGTCATGATTCCGCTGTGAAGGCTTGGCACGAAAGAAAAAAAAATGCTCTTATCGTAGCTCATGCACCTGGAGGAGTCCGGAATTTAATCAAACAATTCGTTTTCATTACGCTTCCATTTATATGAAAATATATAGCAATTTTAAATTCACGTAAATATAAGATTCATAGAAAAATGAACGACCAATCTACAATTTACGTGTGGCCTCTCGTCACTCGCGAATGCACTCGACCTCTCGTATCGCGTTACAATCATGAGATGCAACAACAAAAAAATCCTCAGCTGCTCTCTCGAAGCGTAAAAATGTTTTGGCAACTTGCTTATCTCGTTGCACGTGCGGGGCGCGCGCGCGCGATTTGCCTGTCTATTTCGTCGTCGCTCGCTCGCTGTGTAATGCCTCGGCGCAGCAGCCAAAGAAAATTATCGGAAAAACGTCAAATTCTAACGAAATTCCTCCGAAGCTAATCCTTAGCCGCTTTCTTCGAGCCTCATGCATAATGCATTAGCAACGGCGCTATGTATCTCGTGCCGTATAGATAGAGGCGCATAAGGTCGACGTGACGTAGCCGCGCGCGGCAAAATGTATTATAAGCACATGGCATCGCCCGTATTATATAGATGACGCTTTTTTTTCTCGCATAGGATATAAAAAAAAAGGTGAAAGTGACTCCAGTGGGATAAGCTTCTCTGGATCGCATATACCGGCAATTACCTTATGCCTCGTTGGGAAACAGCAGGAGTTATAAGGCGCGCCAAGGGTTTCACAGAGCTAGCTAAGCCGTCCTCGGTCCGTCAGCTAGCTGCCAAGGCGACCCTTACTCGCACGAGCACAGTCTCCTTCTTTTTCTTTTTTTTTTTTTTATTACCATTCCAAAGATCACGGCTTCTGGTGCGGTATCTTACGGCTTGGAAAATTGTTCAATTACCGCTTTGGCGCTTTTTAGTCGCAGAGCTTCTATATATCGCGTATCGCGCTCTACTCACTTATAAAACAGTCTATTTAATTTTAAAGCGTCGCAGCTCGCTCAACAAGGCTTTTCCTACGCAGTTTCGCAATCTTGCTCTAGTAGCTTTTAACATATTTACATTTATTACCCGATAGGTCGAAGACGAGCTCGCGTAGACTTATTTTTAGAATTTTAATGCCTTAATTTAAAAGTGTAAATGATCGGTTATTTTTAGAGCCACACTCGGATATAAAATCATTTGCAACATCAGAAAAATTTAACGAATATTAACTTGTTGAAAATTAAATTAATTTGTGATGCGGTATTGACAAAAGACGCTGAGTGATTGATTCAGCTTTACTTCTCTGGTAGATATGCTCAACATTAATAACGACCTATTGACCAAAACAGATTATTTAAAGTATTTTAAAATACCTTACGATTAAATGGGTTGATTTTGACGATTTTTCTGTTAAATGACTTGAAAACAACAATTTAGCTGTTTCGTAAAATGTAGAACAGTTTTCAGGTGATTTAATAAAATAATAATAGTTTAGGCCTCTACAACTAGATGGCGAGTACCTTTATATTTATAAATCTGTAAGTGACAAAGTGAATGTAATGCTATAAGTCAAAACTTTTTATTTTAGATTTGATTATGGAAAGGTTTCTCCGATAATTGAAAGTTTTCATGAATCGAGTGAAACAAAAAAGACCCATGATCTTGACCTTATTGTAGCTAAATTTCTATTATTCCACGATATATCATTACTGCTTCAACTTTTGAATATTTTTACAATTCTTATTACACCGATATGACAGAAGAATATAACAATAGATTATATGTATTTCATTTTAACGGTCGACTCGCACGAATCTGTTATTTTCAAGTTTATTTATGTGTATAGGCTGTTAATGTACAACAGTTTGAATGAGAGTGCACTTTTTTACGGCTCCGTTATTATTTAATGTGCAAAGTATTGATCTCCGAAAGGATGTACACGAAGATGATTCCGCTGCATAATTGTTTCACATGCAAAATAAACTCGGCCTAATTTTGTTTCAAAAATAGCTCACAAATTGTGCTTGACTCGCACACACACATACACACACATTTATCCCCCTACATTGCACAGTTAAACATCCTCCCCGGATATGAAAATAACCGCCACCGCCAACCGAGTAAACTGATACATAGTTAGATGTGTTCGTGACACACGGAAAGGTCGTTTTTTTTTTTCATTCTCGTGCGGCTCGGCGTGGAATTTTTTATTATTTTTTTCTTCGTCAGCAAGAGCTTTGTTACTGTTTTATACCCGTTTTTTTCCACAAGCTCAACTATATTAAACTTTTTCATCACATTTCATCGGTTTATGCTTGTTAAAATTGGCATCATTGTCAGTCAAGAAAATCATACTTCACTTTGTTAATAAGTCCATAAAATCAAAAACAATTCAAATCACTTAATATATACGTTTGACGATTGAACGTCGGTTCAATCATAAATGTTTCCACTGGGGTACAAACTTTTGTCGCAGTGACTATCGAAAATCGCCATTCGCCAGCCACTCGGAGACTGTGACCTATGCACCACCAGTCGCGCAGTTGTGTTAATTAAATTTTTAATTTCCACAAGAGATTTTAATTTCCACGAGAGACGAGGAATGCATGATCGATTTCGAGCTGCTGCCCGTCGCTGGGTATACGCAGGCTTCTAGCACAAGTATAGAGAGAGAGAGAGAGAGAGAGAGAGAGAGAGAATGGCGCCGAGGGACGCCTCTATATATACCATGCGTTCATTCGGCTAATGGTGTGCGCGCTTCCGGCGCACGGCGTATATCGACACGATTCAATTGATGTTTTGCTTGATTACGTTACTGCGGATCATAACGATTTCAGTGATGCAATTGGGCGCGATTGGAATTCCACGCATTGAATGCTTTCTTATCGTTTGATGCAACTGATGCGTACGCAAAAAATTTTTTGTTTGTCCTTTTTTTTTAGATTTTTTCTTTTTTAAATCTGTTTACCTCGACTGTGTCATAGATGAACGATTCAGTTTGTACGAGCGTAAAACGAGAGCGAGCCAAAAAAGCTAACTCTCGAAAGTAGAAAACGAGAACTATATATTCGTCGTGGCATTCGGTTTAATTGGGTTATAATATAAATTGTTGGCGCCCAATCAAGGCACATTGGTCTTTGATACTGGATAATTAGGTTTTTTCTGCGAACAAACAAAACTCGAATAGTCGACGATCCAACTTTTTTTTTGTCGAGCGCACTCGAAATCGAGCTTCAATTTATTCAGTGACTAAATAATAAAAATGAGTACAGATTTTTTTGTGCTCCGCGCACACGATCCTCGTGCAGTTATAATGATGTTGACTATTTGTGTGCATTGCAGGTACCATCGGGGAGGTGAACGATGGCCAGTAGCACGGAGGATTACGGCTCGGAACTGCAGGAGCTGCAATGGGGTCTGCGCGACGCCGGGGGCGGCTCGTCGCACTATCTGCGCTCGGGTGTCGGCGGTGGCTCGTCGCATTACCTGCGCTCGGGTGGCGGGGGCGGCGGGCCCGGGGGCAGCTTCGAGGCCGAGGACCTCGAGATGAGCTCGTCGTCGTCGCGGCTGCATCATCAGCAGCAGCAGCAGCAGCATCATCTGCAGGGCGTCGGCGGTCGCGATCGGGGCTACTACAGTCCGCCCGGCACGAGCTACACCATCGTCGAGCGGCCGCCGAGCGCCCCGGCCCATCACTCGAGCTCGCAGCAGCAGCAGCACCATCACCAGCAGCAACAGCACCACTCGAGCAGCCACGCCACCCCGTACAGGCATCGAGGTCACGGGGCCACTTCCGCTGCCGGCGCTTTGGGTGGAGCCAGCGGGCCCATATCGCCCGAGCAGGTCATCAGGTTAGGCCTCTCTTAATTTCTTTGCGTATAGTTCGGCGCTGCTGTACTTCGTATAGGTGTATGAATATATTTTCGCGGAATGTGTACGAGCTCGGCTACGTTAAATGATGCATCCGCGCGTGATGCACTCGAGACTTTGGTGTACCGCAAAAGTTTCCGTCGCAAGAGAGAATTTTATTCCCAGTCTCGCGATATCCGAGTTCTTTTCCCTTGCGAGACTTTCTCTCTCTCTCTCTCTCTCTCTCTCTCTAGCTGATGGTCTCTTGGACGGAACTTTTGCTCTCCGAAGTAATAAACAGCTGTTTCCAATGCACGAATGCCCCGTAAAGTGACTGATTAGCAACTGTACGGATAAGCTGTTTTAAAACTTGATTAGCTTGCCAAACGCAGAGTCCTTAAAAATTTTTATTTCGAAGTGATGTTGTTTGGTAATGGTACATGGTTAAGCTTTGAAAAAGGACGACATTTCTAACATTTTTTTTCTCCGAACCTATTTCATATTTTAAGTTAAAACTTTTACCACTGTTAATTTACGTCTTGAACAACGCAAAAATATTTATATAAGAACTTGACCCAAATATTTACATTGAAATCGGCTAACCCTGGTGAAAATATAAACGTATTTTTAATTCACCACTTGCAGATTTATACATAGAAGGTACCTTCCATCTGGTGGCAAGGGCTGAAAGTAGTATTATTGTATTCGAAGTGGTGAAAAACTTCTAGCCGTACAAAAAAGTGATTTCGCGAAAAATACGTTTAAATTTATCATCATATCGTAGAAACAATAAATTATCCTACACATTTGTTGCACAGCTTGTTCGGCAATGGCCTTCAGCGTCGAGGTGGCAACGAGCGAAGAACACCGGCCTCGAGTCCGGCCTCGGTGGCCGCGATGCGCGGCGGCGGCGGCGGCATGGGCTCGTCGTCGGCTCAGGCGACGTCGTCGTCGACGAGTAATCTTCAAACGTCGCCGCAGTCACTGAGCCTGCAGGAGTTGACGGTGAGGACGATCACGATGACGCGCGACCCGCCCGACTCTCATCACGGCTTCGGTATTTGCGTTAAGGGTGGAAAGGATGCCGGTAAGTTCGTCTCATCTTCGTTGGTTTTTTTTCATTTATTCGCTCGTCACTCGAGTTTCATGATCGGTTGGTGAGGAGTAAAAACTTCGGATCGCACATTTTCACAAACATCTTCATTTTCGTATAATGTACAATTTCAGAGCAGGCTAGAATCGCAAGAATTTATATAAAATAATTACAGTTACCGCTTATATGAGCAATTCTCTAAATGAAACGCATTTTTGGAGGTAGAATCGCGGCAAATTTTTTTTTCAACCTAAGCGGATACGGACCCCTGGGAAATGTTTTTGGGGGTCCTAGGAACATGAACCCACGTAGGAACCATTGAAATTTCAATAGTGCTTACTTTTATAGCTACTTTTGTGATTTAGAGGACGAAAAATCATGTTTTCTCGTTAGTACGGCTAATTACTCAATTTCTAAGTCGTTGAAAAAGTATCAAAACTGATCTTAAAAAAATAACTGGCTACTGTGTTCGATAGGAAATGTTCTCAGCTTTCCAATGGTGGTATCAGATTTTCCGATAAGTTGCACATTCACCGAGAAAATCGCCATCAAACATGCCAAGCTAAATATCTCGAAAAACTCGGTACGGAAAAAGTGATCTTTGAGGTTTATTTTCGATTTTTCCTCGTGAAAATGAAATTTATCGAAAAATCTGACTACACCATGAGAAAGCGGAGGAAATTTTCTATCGAAATCATATCTTCATTTATTTTTTCAGTGGAATTACAATGTTATACATCGGAATTTCTTTTACGTTGTTCGCTGTTTTCTGTTTCCGAGCTGATACAGCGCGGTCGCGAGGTTTTCGGCACGCTACAGTCAAAACTAGCTCGTAATTCCACTGAAAAAATAAATGAAGATATGATTTCGATAGAAAATTTCCTCCGCTTTCTTATGGTGTAGTCAGATTTTTCGATAAATTTCATTTTCACGAGGAAAAATCGAAAATAAACCTCAAAGATCACTTTTTCCGTACCGAGTTTTTCGAGATATTTAGCTTGGCATGTTTGATGGCGATTTTCTCGGTGAATGTGCGACTTATCGGAAAATCTGACACCACCATTGGAAAGCTGAGAAAATTTCCTATTGAACACAGCAGTCAGTTATTTTTTTTAGATGAGTTTTGATACTTTTTCAGCGACTTAGAAATTGAGTAATTAGCCGTATTTACTAGAAAACATGATTTTTCGTCCTCTAAATCACAAAAGTAGCTATAAAAGTAAGCACTATTGAAATTTCAATGGTTCCTACGTGGTTACATATTCCTAGGACCCCCAAAAACATTTCCCAGGGGTCCGTATCCGCTTAGGTTGAAAAAAAAATTTGCCGCGATTCTACCTCCAAAAATGCGTTTCATTTAGAGAATTGCTCATATATTAAAAAAAAAAAAATAATAATAAAATAAAAAGCATTTGTTTAATTGCTATGATGATGTCGTGCATTGCTGTTTTGCGAAAAGTTTATTGCTGTGTCGATCGTTATTATAACTTAATCGTTCAAGTCGATTGCATTTTTGAGAGCTTAGTGTAATCGTTATTTTTTGCTGATGCATCGTATTTGAATATAGTTGAATATAAAATCGAGGAGCCACTATATAGCAACGGGACTTTTGCGCGACGGTATTATTTCTGATGTGCTTATTGATTGGAATAGTTTGGATAATGCATTATTTATATATAACAATGAATAAAACAATTGAAGAAGCGAGAATTTGACTGCGATGTTTGTTTATTGTCTGTTTGGCTGGTCCAGATGCGCAGTCAGGTAACTCATTACTAAATGTCTCAAGAGCATTTTGCGAGCTTTCACTTAGTTTGAATAAAGTAAAGTAAAATGAAGTAAAGTATTTATGAAAACGAACTTTATTTTGGCAAGTTTTGTACCGTATTATACTGTAATTCCCGAAATTTTGCATGTAGGTTATCGAACGAGCCTTTCAGTAAAGAACCTTTGTGATTGATTGATTTTCATCACGATTAATTCAGCTGTGTTCGTCCAATTATAAATGTGTAAATTTGATTCCTAATTTTTTTAACCATTTTTTACCACTAGCAAAAGTATATAATTGTCTTTTTACAACGAACGAAGTTAATTATGTGGTTGGCATTGCTGGAGAATGGAGTAATTTGGCTGAAAATTTGGCATATCGCTAATTAGTCGAAAATTAGGCGTGTAATATATAGTTGTCGAATAGTCGCGAGGCAGAAGAATAAAGAAAAAGTAAAAAAAAAAATTGAATCATTTTCTCATTTTGTGCACGCGTAGCCCATTTAGTATCACGCATCAATCAATCATTTTCCCGTAACATTATTCAAAATTATTAAGAATATAGATATTTTTTAGTACAAATATTCGTCATCATGCAGAATTTGTAATAGAATATATTTGAAACCCCTTTCAAGGTATCGATCCTCCGCAGCCTGGAATGCACTTTCCTGATAAACGAAGAAGTAAAGCCAGTAAGATTTTGCTCCCTCAACGTAGCAAAAGTGTTCTTACAATATATAACATTATGTAATATATCTCTATACAGACATATAGTGTCAAAAGCATCCAACGTCTCGTATCGTACAACATATATATACATTATTATTATGTGTAATAATAATAATAATAATCGCCATCGTATACGCCAAGTTCTCTCATTCTCCCATTACTGACACACTCACGCACAAACTTATTGGAATACTTCTCGCGCCATTCGCTATGTATACTATTGCGCACGTGCACAGATAGTTTAACTTTCATGTTTTTCACGTTGTCTTGAAAATTAGCGCACTGCACACGCGCACGCACACACTCACACGACGTTATTTTGCATGAAGTAGTTATCAAAACAACTGCTACGTATATGAATCTAGTGGCACGCGAAAAGTGTCCTCGCACTCCTTCTATATGCAAACCCTTGATTATAACTAGAAGTGTTCCGTGCGCAGGCTATCGCGTATAATATAAGCGACGAGTCTCTCTCTCTCTCTCTTTTGGCTCTCGCCTTGTCGTGCAATCAACGCGACATTGAGAGAAACGAGCGCGCGCGGAAGATAAAGTTAGCTTCCTATATTTTCAACGTATACAGACACAGGCTTTGTTCGGGCACGCGTTTTATTGGAACTTTTGTACTTTGCATGAAACTGCCACCACTGCAGCTGAAAATTTTCAAGACGTTCATCGTGCTAAATGATGAATAATATGGTTTTCAAGGTGTTTCAAAATTACCGTATCCACCCTGGCAAGAAATGCTCAAAATTACGTGGCTAGATTTTGAACAATGAAAACGTTTCTTGAACTTGAAATAAAAGGGCTATCAGAAGTGGTCATACACTAACCAAAAGTGTTATGATATTAATTCAAAGTTTTTTTAATGACATTTTTTTACAATATGGTAAAAGCTCTCACAAATTACCATTTAAACATACTTTCAATAGTAGTTTTTAATTTTCTACGTTTGAAATGTAATTGAAACGTGTACATAAGCTACATGTAATTGAAACGTGTACATAACTTGTAGAATGACTCACATTTTTAAATTGATTTTTTAAATACAAATATATGTAATTTATCACTTGCAGATTTATCAATAAAGGTACTAACCATCTAGTGGTGAGGACCCGAAGTAGTAATTTCGTATTATATTGTCTGAAAACTGATTTGTTGAAACAGTTAAATTGACATTCTTTGTCATTGTCTATCAGAAAAATCACCAAAAAGAAACTAAATAGCCATGTATTTTAAAACATTTTAAATTGTGATTTCAAATTGTGATTTTCTGGTCATCCCGCCATTAGACGAGAAAGTAAAAAAGAAAAATAATTTATAGCTACAGATTTTCATCTAGAGTATACAATAATAATCAAAGCTATATTTGATTAATTACGAATAAACAATTTACAATCGAAAATAAGATAAACTTATCCCTTTAAAAAAGTATGTTTCAAACACAGTTTATATTTCCTTTACATAGATTACGATTTAATCCAGGCCGCGAGGAAATTTTAATTAATATGGTAATTTTCAGCGACCGAACAAGCTTAAAAATGATTAATATTCGTTTTGCTTTGTTATCTGCGAGACTTTACGATGTTTGTGTTATTGCAATTACTAAACTGGGCATGGGAGATATGTATGGCATGGTAGTTTTAATTTTCATTAAAAATTGTTTAGCATGTCGTAGCAGTTGTGGCACGAAATTCTAATAAACACTGATCGTGCATTATTGAGCTTGCTAGTGTAGTTGTGTAAACAGCATTGACAACGAAACAAAAAAAAATATACATTTCTTTTCTATTTTTAAACGCAATAAACGCTGCGATTTGTTTGTTTTAAGGATTCAACGATCTTTGAGCATCATTTAGAGATGGCAATACGCCAAGAAAGCTCAATATTATTCTTGAAAATCCGAATTATCCGGTCGATCGATGTTTTTTAATAATTTCACTGTGTCTCGAGTGTTCGCCGTTCTACGTTAGTAAAATCTTTTCAAGAATACACTTTTTGTTAATATCGATTAATTGAATAATTTTTCTCCGCAAAATTGTACCTATGTATTTTGTAACAAATTTTTCATTTCTTTAAACGGATATTACTGATTCAAAGAGCAAAGAAACGTTTATATATCAACTCCACTGAACAGAAAAGTAGTGTACTTGACACTCGTAACTACATCCCTTTGCGTACTTTTTTATTCACTCTAAATCTTCGTAATACTTTGTCGCAGTTATTTTTTTTTGCTACGAGAACGTCCGACTCCGACTTGAACTTTTGAATAACAATTTTCAATGTCAATGCAAAACGACGTTTTTTTTTCGACAATTATATCGAGTCAAATTCGGAGCAGGACGTTCCCAAAACTTCATCGTCGACTCGACGCACGTTTATATTGGCTAATGAATATAAGAGATCATATATTAACTGTATTACATGTATTATATACACGAGAGGCGCGTCACAGTGCCAAATCTCATATTACGAAAAGTTGCCTGCGTCACACGACACACACACACACACACACACACACACACACACACACACACAGACACGAGACAATGACTATATACGAGATAAAGATAGCTGACTGTGTATAATAATCCGCCGCCGATGTGTTCCCAGGGGTGGGAGTCTACATTTCGAGGGTCGAGGAGGGCTCCGTCGCCGAGCGAGCTGGACTCCGGCCAGGCGACACCATCTTGGAAGTCAACGGTACGCCGTTTCGGGCAGTGACCCACGAGGAAGCTCTCAAAGTGAGTTTTAACTTTTCAATTTTTGCCTGCTCTCCTCCTTCCACCTCCCATCTTCTCTTCCTCCTCCTCCTCCTCCCTCCTATGTACTTATACTTCCCGCAACCGATTTGCTTTGTCAGAGAAAACGAGAGGAAAAAAAAGAAGAAGAAGAGAGAATAGACACAGAAAGTATAAGCGGTATAGCACCCTTTCAAGTACTAACGTGTACGTATGCGATGACGTTGACGACCTCATTGTCGTCGAGCATTGCAAAAGAAGTCGTTATTTTATTATCCGTAAAAGCTCTATTTTTTTTTTGTGTGTGCGCGCGCGTGAAATCTTACAAAGGTCTGGGTGCTTATTCACGCGTACTCGTGTGCGAGCGTCTATAACTCTCTCTCTCTCTCTCTCTCCGTCGAACAGATCTCTCGCGAATATCACAACGAACGGACGCGTGTTATTAGTAAAGTGAAGAACGCGCGATGCAATGGAAAATTTTCATTTTCTACCGAGCAAATTAGAAAATGAAAACTCGAGCTGTCCGAGTTAATCGCGCGAAAATAAAGCGGGCAAAGTGATTGTGTGAGCCAGATCCCCTCTTCTTCGCTATCTGGACATCGCCGCGGCAGCAGCCTATTTGCATTGATTGGGTTTTGTGCGCGACACCCACGCGTATACTTGTATGTGTGTTTATACATAAGGTACGCTTTTAACGCGTGTAAGTGTGTATAAGTGTGTGCGCAAAGTAATCGGACCTCACGTTTCAATTGGTTAATTGACTGTGAACTATTATGCAGCTACACGATGTTGCCGAACGCCCGGGTATTATTATACATGCTATTTAGTAGTCTCGCGCGCTCGAGCGATCGCGTTTACATCCATGTATAGATATGCAGCAGAGTATAGAGAGCCAACTTTAAAACAGATTTAAATCTAATTTCATTTCTTCTGCCGCGCCGCGCGTATAAAGAGGCTTTTAATGGATTTCCCGCGATCGCGTATACGTATGCATTATCGTAGCTAGCATAATCCGGCATGCAAATCTATCAAACGTTAATAGCGCAGCCTTCGACGCGTGTACGGTATTCAAATCGTACTACATACACTTTACCTCGAAAATGCCAATTAATAACGGCCGCGCGCTGATAATTTACAAATCAGCGGGCTGTAAATAGTATTCGGTCGTAAGTACATGGTACACGAAATGAAATATAATGCTAATAAATCGCGTTCGTGCAGGTCGCGTATCACGAGCGAAATTGAAGAAAACTGCGAAAGGCGAAATTGAGCCACGCGAGAAAAGAGAGCTCTCGCAGCCTTTCAAGGAAGGGCGGAGATGCGCACACGTAAGGGCCGGATAAAGGTCTTGAGGGACCTCTCAGTCGCGCAGGGTAATCTCTGGTGTAAATGCCCTCGTAGTACTCTGCCTTTGCAGCTCGCGCTTTTTTCTTTGCAAGCTCCCTCCCCCGCGCGAGCGCGAGCTCTCCTCTCTTTGCCTGTATGCAGCACAGCTTCGCCTTCTATCTCTCTCTCTTTCGCGAGCCGAGATTACGTGCGTGTATATACGGGACAAAAGCCCCCTCGGAGCAGCCCGACAATGGGCCATCGGGAGTATCGAGAGCTTTGTAAGCCTACGTGTAATAGGTTATAGGCCGCAGCACATATTTCACACACGTATTGCGCCGAGTTTTGCCCGCGTATTGCGAACGAAAGAGAGACGGAATATATACCTATACAGCGCACACAGCTGCAACAAAACTGTGGCTGTTCGTGTGTGTATTTTCTACGTATGAATAGATGCGCAAGCAGCAGCAGCAGCAGCGGTAACAGCGGCCGCGCGTACTACTACTACTATATCGCTGACACGATCGAATGCTTTTCATCAGCCTCTGCCTGCGCACTCTTCGTTTTTTTTTTTATATTTTTTAATGCATATATCAGTTCTTTTTCTCTCTCTCTCTCTATCGTACGCCATCGAGTATGTGACTTTAAACTGCACCTGCATGCATGCATACGTTGCGGGCTCCGCTTCTTTTATTTTTTTCACGCGTGAACAGTGATGAAAAAAAGTCAGTCCCCGGCGCCGACTATACACCTACAACACGTACGTACGTACGTACGCCTACATGACGATATACCGAATCGGGCATGTGGCGGCAACGGGCGTTGCTTGCCCATTTCTGCGCGGCTCGATTTCTCATTGACCGATGACTAGCATGTAGGTCACATTTTTTAATAAAATTTCCGATCCAACGATTTCGCCGCTCTTTGTCTTTGTGTGCGAGCTGAGAACGCCCGCGCGCGCACGAGTTCGGTTCGTTCGAGCTCTCGTTCGCTCGTCAATATATCAGCTGCAGTATGAATATTTTAGGAGCTCTCTCTCTCTCTCTCTGGCTGGCTGGCTGTATACGATCCGCTCTGTGAGCCGTGGCACATACCTATATGGTATGCAGAGACTGGCTGCTGCTGCCTTCGGTTGGCTTTGCTCATGCGTAACGTTTCCCCCCAAGACCTTTAAGCTTACATTATGCAAGCAACAGTTTCGGCATTCGTGATAAACGAGCTATTTTCCACTCGTCACTTTTTTTTTGCTGTTTTTGCTTTCTTACAGATACGGCCGCGCGGAAGAATAAAAAAGGCCGCTCTTTTATCAATAAAGCAGAGAGCGCGCACGCGTATCCTCTCCCGCTGATCTTTGTGATGCGCAGCTTTTCATTTCTCATTTTTCTCTCTTCTTCTTTTTTTTTTTATCATTGAGAATGCGAGATGAATTTTCGCCTCGAGTCTGTCCTCGTACGCAGTGCTCGACGTTTTTTCTTGATTGATGTAGGATTATTCGAGTCAAAAATGATACGAGCATGTAATTTTTCAGCGAGCCTTTTTTATATATAAAATCTCATCAAAAATCGGAGACTTTTTCTACACCTTCATTTCAATTACAACATTTTCCTCTCCGTTACGCGTGACAAGAAAATTCAGTTGAAATAATTCCTTTTACGATCTGTCATAAATATATCTATATCAGGGGTATAGGGCTGGAATCCCAACGCGCGCGCGTAGGGCTGTAAAGCGCAGCATCTTTTCTTTTCGAGTGCATACACCTTACAAGTCGCGCGGCGGCAGCCCTCGATCGCATAAAAAAGGCAATAAGCCATCGTGTCGCGCGGCAGGGAAAAAATATAAAAGAGGTCGCGCCTATATACCTCTCTCTCTCTCTGAGAAAAAGAGCGAGTGAGAGAAAGCAAGTGTGCTGCTGCGCGCATGCAAACGTCACGAAGTGAAAAACATTGAAGCAGCGAGCGAGCTCGAGAGAGAAAGAGAGGGCTCGTGACTGCTGGAAACGCGACGATAAAAAGAAACGAGCTTTCGCCCGCGAGTTCATTTCGACGAGAGAGAGGGAGAAAGAGAGTAGGGTTGGGAGGGAGGAAGGGAAAGGCGAGATGCACTAACCCGGATGACGGCGCCAGGACGTCTGGCGCCGCATAAGACCCCGTCATATATTTATCCGGCATAATGCTGAAACTGTTCTCTATCTCTGTGTACAGTGTGCTCTGGGTTCCATATACGGAGAGAGAGAGAGAGAGAGAGAGAGAGAATAGTTGCTCGTTTTTCTTCGCATAATACATACGTACACGCGTGTACACGTTATAACCCATATACACAAAGCAGCTACCACCCCCCGCGCGAGCGCGCGTCATCTCTCTACTGGGAAAAAGAAACGCGCGGTAGCGCGCCTAGAGCTTGCAGCTACTGCATGCAACAACAGCGCGGACGCCACCCGAGAGTGCATGGCGCGGCTTCGCGCGCGACGACACGATCGATGCGGAATTGCCCTTACTCTTTCGCCGTGCATCCGAGATCCATACTGCTGTTGTTGTGCCCCGTTGTCGTCGTTTTATCGTTATTATTGCGTTGTGAAATCTCTCGCTCGGCTCTTACTACATACACATATATACAGATAGAGCTTTCGCACGTCTCTTGCCAAGCCATCATCTTTACAACTTGTATACACTCCTCGCCGTCCGTGTGTTACTTTTGTACGTCAGTCGAGCGGCGACGTCTTCCCGGTACGGCTGCTTTCTTCTCTCGTACTTCTTCTTCTTCTTACTCAATAGCCATCATCGACAATTGTCGCGCACGAATCGAGTTACTTTTCTACACGTTCACACACACACATACACGTTCGATAAAGCCATTGGATTGAAAATGGATTGGAGAAGACTCTCGGACTCGAGGCTGTATTACCAGCGAGCTCAGAGACACAGGGTTTCTTTTTATCTTTCACAATTATCAGTATATAATTATAATATATACCAATTTTTTTTCACGTCTCGCAGCTTTTATATATAATGTGATTTTGCGCTTTATGCACTCGAGGCTTTTTGAAAGAGAGAAAGAGAGAGATTTCGTGTTGCGTTATACGTAATCGTTATACGATCGTCGAGTGAAAAAAGATACTCTCCGGAAAAGAGATTGAAAGCCATCGAGTTCTTCATAACTGCCGGGGATTGGGATTGCTTTTAGCAATTTTGCCGGTCGTGATGGCGGATTTTTGCCTGGCTTTTGCCTTCGCCTTTGGCCTCCAAATTTATTTGATTATTGCTTCGGCCATTCCGCCGCTTGCTTTACTTTACTTTATCTAATTTATACATAGATGCCAGAGAGAAAGTACAAGGACGTGAGCATTTCTCTCTTTGTTAAGTGTTTTATATGCATAATATATACGCGCGTGTGTGTGCATGCGTGTTTGTGTACGTTTTCAAAAGCTCGACGATAAAACTGATACGGGCACTGACGTGTTTACTCGAAGGCGTGTGTAATAAATAGTCCAAATCAATCTGTAGAGCTTAAAACGTGTGCGGCGCCCGACATTCTACATATGAGCGTTTCTATAAAAAATTCATAAATAATTCGAGGCGAAAATTGCGATTCAAACTTTAGTAATTTGCAATATTACAAAATAAAAATTATTTAAAATCACTCAAGTAATGCGTGATAATTTTTTCAGAATTTTTCAAGTC